TATATATATATATATATATATATATATATATATATATATATATATATATATATATATATATATATATATATATATATATATATATATATATATATATATATATATATATATATATATATTAACGAGACGAACAATTATCAAATTTTACAGTGTAGAAAGAGTGCTCAATACCATTTACTTACTTAGAGCAAATATAACTAGTTTGTTAACTTAAAATATAGTCACAACTCTGTGTTTCACGCTCAATGCGATCCTCAGGCGACGATTTTTAAGTCTCGATCAAATTTTTTTAATAAAAATTATTTCCCCTAAAATTTTTATCGAGACTTAAACATCATCGCCTGAGGATCGCATTGAGCGTGAAACTCGAAGTTGTGACTGTATTTTACATTAAGTTAACAAATTAAAAGTCACGTGATCGATATCTTCACATCTAGAAAATATCTCACTGTGTATTTCTCAGTATCTCACTCTCTACTATATAATAATACATTATGATAATAATACACAATAACTTGGGAATATATTATGTATACGTATTCAGTGGCGTAGCCAGCCCGACTATTTAGTCCCGCTATGCAAATTCAAAATTATTATCATTATTCATTCCTTTAGAAATTAATTGTTTTCACAGTCAATGAACACGAACATATTTCCATAGCTGGCTACGCTACTGTACGTATTAATTAAATTTATCGTGAATACGAGTATCAATTACAAAATAAAAGTCGGGCAATTTTCGGGATAGTCGGGCAAATTGCTGACCGGTATGCCAATGTTGGCCGGAATGCCCATGTAACAACATTCAGATGACGTCATGAGTTCCCTAATCAAATGAAAACACAGCATATACTCTAGACTTTCCAAAGTCCTTTCCAGACCCTTCTATGGCGCGCTTCGCTTCCTCTGTGGAAAGGACTTTTGTCACTTGCAGCGCGCCAAATATCACCGGTGGAAAAATCCACCGGTGACGTCATTGTTTACATTGCCGATTTGCCGAAGCGGTTTACATTATTATTGTATTACAAATTATATTCTCAGGCTTTCTTGTTGAAGAAATGTGTACTATTAAAGCAATTAGAGTAAACAATGTAATTACAATTTTGTAGAACACAAAAACCATGTGAAAATACACAAACAAGCATTACATTGAGTAGGCTATATTTAAAAGTACAGGGTGTCGAAATAAACTTTATTAATACTGTCACGTACCGAAGATGCATCTAATGATTCTAAAATTTCCTCACTAGTTTTGGGTTTAGTTTGGGTTTCTTGATCTCGTGATTACTGATTATTAATACAAAATCATTTGTTGAGAAAACAACGCGTATTTTTACCGGATTTTGAACTCTGGCGACGTCTTCTCGTTGATCACAATCGCCGCCTCTCTGCTTCGCGGTTACAGCTAGTTGTCTGATTCTTTTCAATTAGATTAACTTCTAGTACTAATATTAAATCGCTCGCGAACTGAATCAACTTTCTATAATAAGTCTAATAAATTACTACTCTTGTCGGCACAATTACGGCACACATTGTTAGACAAAACAACTGTCTAGATTCAATAAGTTTTTACATGCACTCGTTTTTGTTGATACATTGAACAGCTTTCGACGCTTACTTGGGTCAGTTATTTCGTTTCCACACTCGGTGCAAACTGTTTCATTCGAGGACAAAGAAATATCAATTCTTGGGAATGTTTTTGTGTTTTTGTAGACCCATTGTCGGCGCGGTGAAGTAATTGTATGAAATGTACACACCCCTTTTATGTCAAAATTATATTCGCGCCAAAATTTTTAATGCGATTTAAATTCCTGCAAGGGACACAAGTCGACCACTCGCGACTTCGTCGCTCGGGTCGCGTGTTCCCTCCCCCGCGCCCTTCCTCCCCCATGGTCGACTTGTGGCA